TATATATATATATATAATTTTGCATTTTAATTGATATATTTAAAAAAAAAGTTAGATTTCAAGGCACATTTCAACACAAAGAAATATTGATATTCATTGTTTTAACTCAACAACAACAACATATGGTTATCTCATATATATTCACAACAACAATGTATAGCAATTATTTATATTTTTTAACGACCCTATATATTTGCTTGCTGAGGGAAACAATTTGTTTACTTTAGATACATTTTATTTCAAATGTATATATATGCTGTGGAAAGTTACTGAAATACAGTGAGCGATAATGATAAAGAGCTACATTTTAATTAAGTTTGAGAGGTTTTGGCTTAGAATATTTTAAAAATATCCAATAATTTTTTTCCCTGCATGTATGATGAACTTTTTATTTATAAAATTACCCATCGTGTAAAATCAAAGAAGGAGATTGGTGGTTCAACGTGACAATCAGGCAATATCAATTCAAACTTTTGGCTTGCGAGACTAAAAGTACTGGTCTTATAAGAGCAACAAAGCAGAATTGCTGCTTGTTGACTTCAAGCTAATTTAAAAGCAGATTTGTAAAATCCATATGTGTCCAAATGCATATGGTATCTATCCTTTCATTTTATATGAATGCATACACAATGCATTAAAAGAGCAAGAAAAATTGAGAAAATTGTACGCCAACATCATTATATTATTGGCGTGTTTTGTCTTTTTTGCCTTGGTAATCCAGCAAGACCTGTCTGAGCCAGTGTTCCTGTCTGGTCCTCCTAATCAAACAACAACTCTACGTTCACGCTTTTCCCCTCCTTCTCCATTCATTGCTCTGTCCGCAGGCCTCTGCCCCCCCCCTCAGGGAAGCCCTAATTAAAGAAACCCAGTGCCTCTAAACCCAGACCTGGGAGAGAGCCGGCAGTGGAGCCCCCTACCCTCGCCATCTATTGTCCATTAAAGAGACTAAATAAATTCAACAACACATTTTCCCTTTCCTCTGCAGTTGGTAAGCTTAGGTATTACATCTGGGCCTGCACAAATAAGCACGGCCGTTTCTTAATCCTGCCACTGGTCAGGAGCTATTCTTATTCTAATGCCCCGTTTCAACCAGGGGTTTTAGAGCTATACTGTATGATTGAGCCATTCAGCAGACACCTCCTCCAGATCGTCACTGGATTGCATGATAAACCAGGAACAAGTCTTAAACTGCTTAGATGTATAATGGAAGGTAAGTTTTTGCTTGCACAAAGTAAATGATAACTGTAATATTTTGCCTTAAATTCTTATACAGTACATCAAATCATTTGGTAGTACTTTACAATATCTTTCATTAAAAACCTTATAATAACAATATCTCATTAAAAAAGGGACCTGAAATAGTCCACCCAAAAATAAAATTCTGTTATTATTCACTCATTCCAAACTTGTTTAATTTCTTTTGTATAATGGAAAGTCATAGAGGTTTGGAATGACACAAGGGTTAGTAAATGATGACGGAATTTTCATTTTTGGGTGAACTATCCCTTTAACAAGTATTATTATATAATATAGTGCTTATCGTTCGGGGTTCATAGTGGTAACCAAATAGAAGATAGAATGTTTATAATCAAACCAAAGTTTCAGTTCCTATTGATTTCCACTATATTTTTTGTTGCAATGGAAGTGTAATGGTAACAAAAACTGTTTGATTAGCAACATTCTTCATGAGATCTTCAAGAGATCTTAAGAAAGTCAGTCATACAGGTTTGAGGGTGAGTAAATGATGACGGAATTTTCATTTTTGGGTGAACTATCCCTTTAACAAGTATTATTATATAATATAGTGCTTATCGTTCGGGGTTCAGACACACTCTCTCTGTTTAAATCTAGATTAAAGACACATCTCTTTGGCCAAGCATTCAAATAATGTATATCATAATCTTGTACTGCAGTTATATCTGATCAAATGCACATTGTTATTCTTTAGATTGGGTTAAACAAATAAATTTAGCTTGGTTGGAACAGCAGCTATGCTAATTATGTCTCTATTTGTTTCTCTGTTTTTGCCACGGAACTAGGATTTACACAAGCTTCAGTCTGGATCCAGAACATCAGCCACAGGTCAAAAAGGTGACATTGTGTCGCTCTTCTATGTCTTAATATGAGCTTGTCATGTCTCTTTGACACTGGAATTGAGGGGAAGGTCTCTGGACAGTAACACACAATGACATTAGTCGGCTCTGTCCGAGTGGGGCAGAGGAGAAATGACACTGATTGATGGATTCTTTTCATTTATGGATCCTCTCTCTCAGAGAGTCCGAAGAGAGAGAGTTTTTTCTCTGTGCATGTGTCTGCACAAGCACACACAATGGACGGATCGGGAGCCTGAGATTCAGCCCTGGGCCGACAAGAGCTGAAGGGGCCAACTGACAGGATGGGCACTCCTCTGTGAGTGAGGGATGGACAGAGGGAGAAAAAGAAAAGGAGGTATGAAGAAAGGGGTGACAGCAGAGACATACTTTATTAAGTGGTTTCTAATTTAATCGGCCCATAAACTCCATTTCCATCAATATGGACGCCCTCATCAGGCTTGCAGACAAGTCCATACGTGAGCCCCTCTCTCAGAGCCCATCGCTATTTCAGTCCTAATCACACTGGATTAGAAAAGCCTGGACTCTGGCTGACATCCAACATCAATCACTGCTTTCTTTGTTTCAGAATAATGAAGCAGTGAATAAGCTGAAAGATAAAACCAATTATTATTAACAATACTGTTTTTTATTTCTATTAAATTAGGCAGGGGGTGGGGTGGGGGTATTGAGACATGTTGCAGGTCAGGTTCAAACCTGTTTTGCCTATATGAGCATCCATTGTTGTGTCCTTAAGGCTGTGAATACTGGCTGTAAGCCATTGTTAATATAATAATAATAATAATAATTATTATTATTATTATTATTATTGTTGTTAAATGATACATCGTGTCTACACTGGGTGTAAGCCATTGTTAATAATAATAATAATAATAATTATTATTATTATTGTTATTATTATTATTGTTGTTGTTGTTAAATGACCTTGAGGTTGTCTGCAGTTGTCACTGGGTGTAAGCCATGGTAAGATAATAATAATAATAATAATTATTATTATTATTATTATTACAACTACAAGACCTCAGAAATCTCAAAGTATCACTAACTTTAGGTTGTCTCTCTGATTTCAGTCCCCCCTACACACACTATACCTTTGCAGGTATATACAAAGGGCAGACAAAAGAAGGGGTTTAGCATTTTCCCAGAGATGAGGAAAGAAACCGTTAGTCTAAAACTGTTAGTAGTTCTATAGGAAAGCAGAACAGAAACACTAGTAAGACGTGAAAAGGGCCACTATTTGTTAAATGTGTCAGTGTGTGTCAAAAGGGTTTGTCTAGCAGTTGTGACAACAGTTGCATCAGTTTAGCTATCGTACAATAAAGAAACTGTATGATATCATCTTCTGAAAACTTCTATATCCCAGCTACATATTTGTCAAATCTCTTATATATATATATATATATATATATATATAAACTCTTAAAAATCACAGAATGAACAAATTGTGTTAAATATTTCTGGGTCCACTGCTTCGAGGACAAAATCTTTTCAAGAACAATTGAAAACAAACAGCCAATGTTTCCGATTACATCCTAATCCCCATTTAAAACTGCAACCACAATTTAATTTGCCACTGTCATAAGGTTAAGAGGAAAAAAATGAAAACACTGGTGGCACAACTTTCTACAGATGAGAGAAACTGGTGTGAACTAGCAAGTAGTTATTTGGTAACATTCCACTGATAGCTGCCAGAAATAATCAGGGTGAAGATACACTGTTTTATTCATAGCATGTCACTCTTAACATGGTAATTACCAGCTGCTGAGGGGTGCAGAGCACGACAGTGGTTTCACCGAATTCATTTAGCACAATAAATCAACAACTACAATAGAGAAAATCACTATAATTATATCATTTACCAAATTCTCCATTTGGTCGGAAATCTTTATTGTTAAATAAAGGCAACTGCTGTTGATTTCATCCAACAAGAAACTAGCTTACAAGGAACAGATGGATTTGATTTTGCACATTATTTTTAATGTGAATCCCTGCTTTGATTTGAGAAGCCGTTGACCCGATGAAGCCATGTTGAGAGAAGGCAAATACGCAACTGCTAATCAGAGTTAAACATCCAGAAAGAAAATTTCACATGCAATCTAGTCTTTTGTATTTCAGACCTAAAGAAAATAAAAAAGAGGGAGATTTGCAGAAGGAGGGGTAATGTGAGTTTTTGAAGAGGAATAGCGAATAGCACATTGTTTTGTCAGATAATCCAGAGCGGTTTATCTGATCTGTGCCTGCTACAGGGAAGCACTTACCCTTCAGTCCGGCTACAAGAGAGCAGGGTAAGAGGGAACAAACCAGAGTGACATATAGACTCGCCTGGACCAGAAGACAGAAGACAGCAAAGAGAGAGAAAGAAAAAGACTATTCCCTTTACACAGTAAGCAAAGCATGAGAGGAGGATCTGATACACTTATTCATGCACACAGAAACAATTATCTGACAGAAAGAAAGAAAGAAAGAAAGAAAGAAAGAAACACTTATTCATGCACACAGAAACAATTATCTGACAGAAAGAAAGAAAGAAAGAAAGAAAGAAAGAAAGAAAGAAAGAAAATATGCAAAAGAAATGTATAAGTGAAAGTAAAAAAAACTGAACAAAACACAGTGAAAAAAGCAAATAAACAGAAAAGAGTGATGTAATAAAGGAGAGAAAATATATGCAAAAGAAAAGAAAAAGAGGGAAAATAAAAAGAATAACAACAAAAAGAAAAAAAAATATACAAAAGAAAAGCATAAGTAAGTGAAAGTAAAAAATAAAGAACAAAACAATGAGTGAATAAAAGCAAATATAAACAAAAGCTAAAAAGAGTGAAAGAAAAACAAGAGTGAATGAAAAGCAAAAGTAAAAGACGGCTTATATAAGCAAGAGAAAAGTGAAAGAGTGAAAAGCAAAAGAAAAACAGCAAACAATAAGTAAATAAATAAATAGGCAGAAGAAAAGTGCAAACAAACAAGTGAAAGAACAAAGATGCAAGTCAAAAGCAAGAAAAAAAAGAGCAAAATAAAAACAAGGAAAAAAACAAAGAAACAAGACAGAAAGAACAAGTGGGCAAAACAATTAATTGATTAAGCAAAATAATAATAAAATAAAGAAAGGACAGGGATTAAAATGTATCAAAGCAAATAATATGTAATGATGATAAGTAAAGAAAGAAATAGGCAGAAGAAAAGTGCAAACAAACAAGTGAAAGAACAAAGATGCAAGTCAAAAGCAAGAAAAAAGAGCAAAATAAAAACAAGAAAAAATAAGAAAAAAAGACAGAAAGAAAGAAAGAACAAGTGGGCAAAATAAAAATTAATTAATTAATTAATTAAGCAAAATAATAATAAAATAAAGAAAGGACAGGGATTAAAATGTATCAAAGCAAAGAATATGTAATGATGAAAATTATGTGGGATGCAGGATGAAAGATTTCTGACAGAATCAAGCAGTGCATAGTGAGATTGTTCTCCCTTTTTACAACACCAATCCAGTAAGTAGTTACTGTGCTCAGGAGGTGAAGGCTGTTGAGATTACACTTATAGGACATTAACGAGCAGTAGAGTGAAACAGTGTAAAAACATCAGCAGGAACTTAGAACAGGAACTTATTTCACCAAAGATATACAAAGATTCCATGTAATAGTGTTACTGCAATGAAGAGTGTCAGTGTGTGTGTGTGTGTGTGTGTGTGTGTGTGTGTGTGTGTGTGTGTGTGTGTGTGTGTGTGTGTGTGTGTGAGACTGCAGTCAGCATGTGTGGAACTGTAGAGTCTATGTATTCATACTTACAGAACTGAGAGATGGGAGCATCAAGCTGTGGTGCTGTCCCTCCTTTGGCATTGAGTTTCTGCACCTGGGTTGGCGGGATGGGTTTGTGGGACTGGCCTGTGGCACGATACATCGCTTGAACCCACAGGATTCGATCTTGCTCATCATCGCTGGCGAAGATCACAGTGTCTCCCTCCTTCACAGCATTGAAGAACGTCCGAGCACCATCCAGACCTGCATTCAACGTATTGTTCATCATTCATTCCATTCACTTTCAATGGAATGAAATAAATTACTGTGTAATCAAAAGTGTGAAAAGTGATAATAGAGTCATTTCTACTGGATCTGAACCTTTTAAGGTACCTGGTAGCATGGTTGAACTAACAATACTTTCACAGCATTTTTAAAACTTGTATTAAATTCTACATTTAATAATACATTAATTATGCATTTATTTATTTATCCATGTATTTATTTAATTATTTTAATGACAGGAAACTACAGGGAGAGAGAGTAGGAATGGGATCGGGACATAACACAGGACGGATGTGAACCTGGGTTTCCAATTTAGGAGCAACATATACGATGTACATACATTTTTGACATTAATTATTATGTATTGTGCACTAAGATTAACTAACAGTGAACAATAGCATATACATAAACACATTAATCAAGATGAATAAATATTCATCTAGAGTATTATATAATATTTAATGTAAATTTTCAACAACAACAATAAATCACATTAATCATAATTAAATGCTGTAAAAGATATTGCTAATTATTAGTTGCATGATCGCCAAAACATTAGGTAATATTACCATAGATTCTGCAATGTAATGTAGTAATTCAATTACATTAAATAATATTTTTACTTGACATTAATGCATTATCAACTAAGATGAACAGTGAATAATAGCATATTTGTAAACTGATATTAATAAAAATTATACATTTATTAATCAAGATTAGTTATATCATATAATCATTTATTAATCCAGATTAATTATATCATATTATATTAATTATTAGTTAATAATAATGTTACAATGATTATTAATCAAGATTAATAAATGCTGTAAAGATATTAGTAATATTAATATTAATTAATATTACAACCAATGCTTTAATTAATATTAATATTTAATTCACATTGATGTTTAGAATCTTATTTTACAGTAATTTTACAGTAATTGCTTTTGTTTGTGTAACCTAATGTAGTTAGGTTGTTTCAACCATATTAAAAACATATTTCTACTTTATTTATCAGTTAATATAGATGTGGCCACCTGAATCACATTTTTTGGTTATCTCATAAAACATTTTTACAGAGTAATTGACCTAAATGAACAGATAGTGTTTGATATTGATATAATTGTTATAATTTATTCCATTTATGCCACAATACTTAGTATACAGTGTTTGATTATGTGTAGACTATAACAGATTCATTAGTCAAATATCAGATGACATAAAAATGATAAAACATGCAACTGCGCAGACACTATAAGACCGATCAGAAAACTCATGTACACTGTGCATAATGTTTTATGCAAAGATACAGAAGGTTTCAATGAAAGATAATTGATCTAAACTGGTTAATTACCAGAGTTTATTTAACATTAATAAAATGAGTCACCTATTCCTTGGGAATAAATGTGTATGGATCCTAGAAACACATGCCACCTGCTGGTCTAACAGGTATTTCTATCCACCTTATTTTGCAATGAAGTAAAGCTATTTTCTGTGAATGTGCAAGACGTCAGATCCATTAGCCACTATAGGTAAATAAACCTATAGTTCAGAGTGCAGTAAAACTACCTGTGCTACAGTGTGTTTATAATTATAATGATAAATAAAAATATAAAAACAAATACCAGTTTACAGAATCAAACAGCGTAACGGACTGTTTTTGTGCAGGTAAAATAACTGTAAGCGATTGACACCGGAAGCCTCGCACATTCAAGCTACAAATGGCCACACACACTCTTACGTTACAAATAAGGTGGACAGAACAGGTGAGGACAATATTCCAGATTTTAGTTTTTTTTTCACTGTGATGTCATTGATTGTAGCATTTCGATTGGCTGCAGTGACCTGGCTGAGGGTCGGTGTAATCCACAGTGTATCCGTCCAGTTGGAGAAGTTCAACAGGTTCTGCTTTCTTCTCCCTGTAGCTACACATGACAAAGGTGTACTGGCTCACCTGGAAAGAATATTGGCACATTAAAGCCACATCATTGTTATGAATTATGAATTGCACTATTAGAACTGGAAGTGCAAAACCCAAACAGAAATATCTACTTCAGGCTTGTGATAAGGTTCAAACGGAGGGTGGCATCTCAGAGGGAGGCTGTCTTGGTCACTGACGGTGTAGGGTTGGACTTGCAGGGTTTTGTCCTGCCAATCAAATGGGACTGACAGAAGAGTGTGGGATGACACACTGTCACTCTGGATGCGAGTCGTGCAGTTTGGTGCCCGTCATACACACGTTCTACACACACAGACGTGCTGCTGTCAAGACGTTCTCTGGCCTTATCCGCAGCATTACACCAATCCTGCGCCTCCATCACCTCTGCTGAAAGTGGCAGCCCTCTCTCACTCCGTCTCCGAGTGACATGATAAATTCAATGTCATGTGTGTGACGGGCACTTGGGCTGGCTTCGGGGCCCTAATCTGGCTTGGTGGCACCCAGGCGCCTTCGGGAGGCCACTGGGGCATGCACACCCCCCACGCTCGCACACACACATACACACACAATCTCCCATCAATCCGCTGAAGTTCGGGCCTGTCAGAAGCAGGACGGTCGCTGGTGGGGCCATTGACCCGCTGTCAAACCGACAGTTAAAGGATTTTAAATGACTTTGCTTTCTGATTACCGCAGCATGCTTTTGCTCTTTTAAATAACCTTGTTATTGTCGAAGCTCTGCAAATTGCATTGTGGATGAAGAGAGCAGGAGAGTGGGCACAAATCGATCACTAACGGTGGAAATATAAAGCCGAATGCCAGACACACAACCCGAGCCCCTTCGGGTCACTCGAACGCATTACCATATTCAGATGCGTAAGCCTGAGCCAGAGCATCGGAGATGAGATGAGATGAGGGGAAAGAGGAAGCGAGCACAGAGCGTCTGCCCGCTGTTTTGTCACATCGCCTACCAACCATAAAATAATTAGACTTCAGTTTGAATCATAATGCTGGCCTTATGCTGTCAGCTTACTGACAACAAGGGTACTGAGAGGCACAAAGATAGACGATGTGGCTGCTATAAATTTATGACTATTTATACGACTATCAGTGCTCTATGAAGTATAGAGATGTTATAATAGATAAGACTTTTCCGTATTCATAGACTTAAGCAACACCGAAGAAATGAAATGGCAGGGTGGAGCCACGGGGAACTCTGTCATCACTTTTTCGTGACACCTTGTTTCAAAGCCAGACTGTGTCAAACTGGAGCCCTAAATGGTCTACGTGGTGTGGTAATAATCTATGAATAATGCAACAGTGAACTCACACCCACCCTGTAACACAAACCCCACATTAAATGCAGGGGCATTTACATAGAATCATTCAGAGTGTCAATCAAACGCTGGCCAGCCACTGACAGCACTTCTAGCATACAAAATATTTAGTTAAATTAATACTTTTGCTAGTAAAAAAGTAATATATTTAAAATGCATTTATTTCATACTAAACATAGTTCAAACATATTTACTGACGTATAGCTGGAGACTTACTAATTTAAAAATTATAGTTAAACTTTATCTGGAGTACTACTTGTGCACAATACACATTTCTTAATATTGAGTCTAAAATGTGTTTTAATGTCACTATTGATGAGGATTGTATGATCTTTGAATAATATTGGTCTTTAAATGCAAAATATTTAAAGTGTACCTAAAGTATACTTGCAATAGTTCCACTTTAGCACAATCAAATATACTTCAGTTGGACCTCAGCACAACTTCTGCACAATTAAAGTGCATTAGGTACAAAAGTAGTTGTTCCAATTTAGCAGACTTTAAGTATACCAGTTTAGTATACTAAAAGTACAATTGCAGGGTATTTTTGTTAAGTACATAAAAATGTAAATGTATTTGTAGTATATTTAGCATGACTTAAATATACTTCAAATACATTTTAGTATATTTATTTTTCAATAGGTTTATTCAGCAAGGATGCATTAAATTGATCAAAAGTGACAGTAAATACTGTTATAAAAGATTATATTTCAAATTAAAAATGCTGTTATTTTGAAATGTATATTTATTGATATACATTGATAATAAGAAGAAATGTTTCTTGAGCACCAAATCAGCATTTTAGAATGAGTTTTGAAGGATTATGTGACACTGAAGACTGGAGTAATGGCTGCTGAAAATTCTGTTTTGTGGATATAAATTTCAGAATTTATTTTGAAATATATTTAATTGTAAATATAGCCTTGGTTAACATAAGAAACTTCATTCAAAAGCATTACAAAATCTTACCCCCCCCCCCATTTTTGAACAGTAGTGTATATAAAATATTAATATTGATAGATAAGAAAAAGGATACAATGATGTTAATAACAGATATTAAGGTGTTAAATAAAGTAATAAATAAATTATTTCAGAAATATACTGAACTGCGGTATAATACATTTTATATATTTTTTTTAATCTAAATAAAACGTTCAAATTGCCATGACGTATTCTGGAGTTTACGTGTATGTTTATGTTAACATTCACATTTACGAGATGAGGACTAGACAAATGGATGTGTTGACGTTTGTGTGAATACTTACAAAGGATTTAACACGAGATCAACGGAGAAGAAACAACAAAAAGCAGAAAGGAGACAAACAAATACAAAGTGTGAAACCAACAAAATCAAACAAACAAACAAAAAAAACAAAACAAAGCACGGACACAAAAAACGCATTCTGGCATATTTTCTTACCCACACTGACATTCTAAAACACAAACGGGGCAACGTGTAATGTTTTTCGCTTGCATGCACACAAGAACACAGACACACATGCACACAAACACTAAGGTAAATAAATAATGTCAGTGTATTGACTGTTGTTTGTCACTTGCTGTAGCCATAGCTGCGAGCGACTGGTGGGCGTGTGATGTGGGCTCTTTTAGCTGCGAGTGCTGGTCCTTTACTATGTCAAGCCGCTTGTCAACTTTTAGCTCTCAGACATGTTATAACCCACCACAGAGGAGCTAACTGAACAGCAAAAAATAGAGACAGATATACAAAAGGCTCCATCGAAGTACCTGACACAGTGCTCGATCAGAAAGAGCCGTGAATCTAGTCTACTTCACTGAAGCAGTTTTGACACATACAATGGAAATGGAAATGCACAGCACTTGATAAAAAAATCTGAATCAAAAGGGGAGGAAACAGTCTCATTAGAAGTGACACCAAGGTGAAAAAGCACATACCTGCACCAAGACGAAGAACCTCTTCTTCCATCTTTTCCACAGGTTTTTCCCAATGGCCCAAAGGTAACTGTGAACAGATGTAGAGCAGGTGTTGCATCACAGTGTCAAGATATAGCATGCTTGATGTGTTGTTCTTAATTTGGGTGATAATGGGCCACTGTTGCCTTTCTCTCTGACTTTGCATCACAGAGTAACTCAAATGTAATAAATTACGACAGGGATATTTTAACATCATAAATATATGTTAAAAAAATGTAAAATATGTTTTAAACACATACAACATACAGAAATATAAACATTTACAAAAATGTGAACAAAAATAAAAAATAAGTTACTCAAAAATGCACTGAGAAGACATTAATATGCTATAAACAGGCAAAATAGGTGTCTGATTATTTAACGATGAGCTATAGTTCTTTTCAAAATAAAAGTAAGAAAACATTTGCTACAGCTAAGACAATACAGCTATAACACTAAAAATGTGTTGAGTAATCAAGGATGATATATACAGTTATTTTAAATGAAATCAAATAAAATATTTGACATTATTTCCTTCAAGTCTGTACACATTGTTTCAAAGCAGCATTAAAGAAAATTGTGCTGTTAATAATTATATATTTTTTTAATATCTTCATACCTTATAGTCACATTTAGATAACATAGTTTACATTTTGGAACAATACAAGCAATCAAGCTGTGGATATTTTATATATATTATATATATCGCCATTCAAAAGTACACTTGCATATATGCGGATATAGTTGGACTATAAAATAGTCATTTTATAAAATGAGCTGGCAAGAATCAGGCAGTTGAGATTTGTTATATAGTATATATTGCTTGAGTGTATATTTAAAATAAAAAAAATCTAAAAGAATGCAAATACATAATGCAACTTTATAGAGGATGACCTATGAGTCTTCCCTCAGAAAGTAGTGTGAGTTTTAATGCAAGCGAAGAAACAGATGTGGATGTTCAGGTGTAGTTTTAGTTCCCCCTAATGGCGAAAACAGTAAATTGCACTTTAGGCAAAGGCAGATCTCAATATCTATTTTTAGGACATTACAATGACTGATCTGATGATAAATAGAAGTAAATGACCCCTATTACATTTTTTTTTTTTTTAAGTTTAAAAAATATTTAATTTTATTATTGTTATAAAATTTAAACGATTATTTTATATTTATTCATGTCTTATAATTTTTTATAATCTATTGTTTTAAAAATGTATATTTAAAAAATATATATGCATAGCACTTAGCTCTCTCTCTCTCTCTCTCTCTCTCTCTCTCTCTCTCTCTATATATATATATATATATATATATATTACAAAATTTATATTGTAAAATAAATCCACATATATTGTACATGATTTTCTGTACAGATCTCAAGGTCACTTCAGTAGTTAATAATTTGTTACTCTGTCCACTAGATGGAGCCAAAAGATCCGAAAAAGTGTTGAGGCCAGATGTTCATTGGACCAGACAGAGAGTTGTAAGTAACTGTTGCCTTTCAGTGTTGGTGAAATAGGTTGAAATGAGAAATGAGTCTGTGCATGTTGAATCTATTCAACAACTTACTAAAATCTATTCAGTTTTAAGTCAGTGTAGAATTTACTGAAATCAGAAATTAAAATGATGAGTATGTCTAAGTGACCAAGTACTTACCCACAGTGCTTCATGTTCTGTGGTTTGTCCATACGGACAGCCAATTTGATCTTCAGGTCATCTGGGCAACCTTTGGCAACAGTCATTTTATGGAGATCACATTGTTTGGGACTATTGGGTGTTGGATGCAACACAACCTGGAATCACATTATGGCAGATATTATTTTTTTAATTTTTTAACTTAAAAATATAGTGTGAAACAACATTGAAATTCTAGGAATATATATATTATTTTTGCTTTTTAAAGTATATATATGTATGTGTATGTGTGTGTGTGTGTGTGTGTTATATACATACATATATATATATATATATATATATATATATATATATATATATATATATACATACATACATAAAGATTACACGTATATTATAAAAATATATATAAAAAATATATATGTAAAATGTATAGGAAATATTTAAAATTCTGCCATTAAAGTAAAGGGGGACATACCAAATACTAATACGTGATATTCATGTTAACTTTTCACTTTTATGCTGATAATATCATTTGAAATTTTCATCAGTGGTCATACATACTGTATATATTGCATATCTAGCTCAAATAGGAAAGTTGGGAAAAGTGGGACACTGCAGCTTTCCAGTAATATCTGTTCCCACCAGTGTTCTGATTCATCGCACATCGGATCCCATTATTTTCTCTATCTCTCACTTCACTTTGAAGTCATCTATCATTTGCATAAGAGCCGACATCAGCACCTTATCTTTCTGTTTTTATATCAGTGCAGGCTTATTGTTTAGAGAGAATGAGTGATAGAGAGAGAGAGAAAAGAGAGAGAGAGAGAGAGAGGGGAATAGAGAGACTCTATGCCTCATTGACTCAGCATTGGATCAAATCCATTAGAACAGCTACAGGCAAGCAGGGGGGCTGCTCATTTCGGAGAGCTTAGCAAAACCATTTTAGTACCGATCACCTCTGAGCTCGGAACTGAGCTCAGATCAGTGCTGACTGCTTAAAGAGTATAGGCTAGAATGAGCTGTGATGGGTTCAGTGTGTGTGTGTGTGTGTGTGTGTGTGTGTGTGTCTGACCCGTCCCAGCTCTTTATCCTCCAATGCCAGCACTCCTGTACTCTCCGTGAAGAGTTTCACCTTTACAGCTGGAAGTGGGTGAGTGGTGGTGAAGTCTCCTTGAGTACCCCAACTAAACAATACAGAGAGAGATTAAATCAGTGGTTTTCAAACTGGTTTTGCAACTAGGAGTGTAAAACTACATGAATAAGATGAAAATTGTATGCCTAGATTTCATAATCAATTACGATGACTATTATAATAATGATAACAACAACAACAACAACAACAACATGTTACAGAGACCATCTCTGCACACACACACGCACACACACACACACACAGAATCATGATATGCATTTCTTTAAAGCATATTTCACAGCCTACTTAAAGGGATAGTTCAACCAAAAATGAAAATTCTGTCATTATTAAATCACCCTCCATTTGTTCCAAACCTGTATAAGTTAATTTTTTTGTGTTGATTACAAAAGAAGGCATTTTGAAGAATGTTAGTAACGAAACCATTGATTTCCATTGTATTTTCCCCCCCATACTATGGAAGTCAATGGCCACTGTCAACTGTTTGGTTACCCATATTCTTCAAAATATCTTAATAAACTCATATAGGTTTGGAACAACTTCAGGGTGAGTAAATGATGACAGAAACATTTTTGGGTGAACTATCCCTTTAACACCTTTTTGGGTTAGTTTGTCGACATGATGCTATCCTTTAGTTTTTTTATTGGATCAATAATAAACTGCACATTATTTTCTTAAAATTACATTTTGAGGCTGTTATTGTAAAGGTTGATGCATTATTTTTGATTATATAGTATTTCAATTATTTGATAATTGATGTATAATATTCGACTATAGTGAAAACTGTTCTTCAATTGTGCTTTTGACTCAAAAGCTTGGGGTCTTTTTTATTTATTTATTTATGACATTTATCATTTTATTTATCAAGGATGTATTAAATTGGCAGTAAAGACGTGTATAATTTAAAATAAATGCTGTTCTTTTGAACTTTCTATTCAAAGAATCCTGAAAAAAAATTCCACAAAAAAATATTATGTAGCACAACAGTTTTCAATACTGATAATAATAAGAAATGTTTCGTGAGCACAAAATCAGCGTATTAGATGATGAAGACTGGAGTAGGCTGCTGAAAATTCAGCCTTGCCGTCACATAAAAAAGTTACAAATTTTTAAATATGTTCAAACAGAAACCATTCTTTAAAAATAAATTAATTAATTAATTAATATTTCCAACATTGATGTTTTTACTGTATTTTTGGTCAAATAAATGCAGCCTCGACATACATAAGCAACATTTTAAAAAATCTTACCGACCCCAATCTTTTAAATGGTATATTTTCCTAAATGATTACGAATCTTTCCAAAATAACTGAGCTAAATGTAATCAAATTGTGCAAAGGTAACAAAAATGTATCTGCATTGAAGAACATAGAAAAACTTTGATCTGTATATGCTGAAAATATTTTCTTTTTTTCCAGAGGCTTGGTGGTTAATACACACTAAGAAGTGGTGCCTATGTAGGAGACATAGAACTGAATATGTCCTTCTGTACCTATTAATGAAATGGCAAAAATCCAATAACAAGCTAAAAAAAAGAGCTTGTCTACATACATAAATACCTTTTATTTTGTGGAGAAAGGCTGAATCAACAGGACAAGTACTGCAGCTTTGTTGGCTTGTCTGGCAATGCACTGTGTGTGTGCATTTGTGCGTACATGAAAGTATTTGTGATGCATGTGTGTGTCTGTGTGTGTGAGTGTGTGTGTGTGTGTGTGTGTGTGTGTGTGTGTGTGTGTGCTGTGATCCCTTGAGATGAGGGGGGCAATCATCTGGCCACAGTGCACATGGGGAACACAGTGCAGTAAATCTCCATGGCAACCCCCTCTGAGCCTGGCTCCCTCTAGAATGCCTGGGGTGAGGCTGAGGGTACGTGGACGCTGTGTCTTATGTATGCTTGTGTATGTTTGTTTGCTGTGTTGGTGTATAGAGCCATTCAACCTTCCTTCACATCAGCGTCTCAGGGGAGATGTCTGATGCATATTTGGCTCATGGCGTTGAAACAAACTCGTTGGAAGTAACAATAAGTGCTGTTAGCAAGAATGCCATCAATACAAGATCATGGAAAACGTTAGTGGAACTTGCTGTGTACTTGAAGGCTGCAGGGGGCACAGCATGTGAACTGTGAACTGCTGTTTAGTATCTATTTATCTATCTATCTATGCACACTAAGAAGACTGCATTTATTTGACCAAAATACAGTAAAACAGTAATACTGTGAAATAATATTACAATAACTGTTTTAATATATTTTTAAATTCAGTTTATTCCTGTGATTGCGAAGTTGAATTTTCAGCATCATTACTCCAGTCTTCAGAGTCACATGAGCCTTCAGAAATCATTCTAATATGCTGATTTGGTGCTTAAGAAACATTTCTTATTATTATCTTTGTTGAAAATGGTTGTTATGCAAAAGGACAGCATTTTTTTAACAGAAATCTTCTATAACAATGTAATGTTCCTGACTGTCATCTTTCATCAATTTCATGTGTCTTTGCAGAATTAAAGTCTTTCTTTCTTTCTCTTTCTTTCTTTCTTTCTCTTTCTTTCTTTCTTTTTCTCGCTTTCTCTCTCTCTCTCTTTCTTTCTTTCTTTCTATATATAAACCTTTCTATATATAAACCTTCTTTCTATATATATAACCCTTCTATTGAATATGTCCTCTAAGGCAGTGGTTCCCAACCCTGGTCCTAGAGGCACCCCAACACTGCACATTTTGCATGTCTCCTTAATCAAACACACCTGATTCAGGTCATCAGCTCATTAGTAGAGACTTCAAGACCTGAAATTGGTGCATCAGAGAAAGGAGACATGCAAAATGTGCAGTGTTAGGGTGCCTCCAGGACCAGGGTTGGGAACCACTGCTCTAAGGTACCATTATTCATACATAAAATAAATAATTGTTTTGTTGTAATTCTATTAATGCAGAGTTTTTGGGGTAGTGTTTTGGTTTCAGTTAGTCTTTTATAGCTAGATAGCTAGGTAAAGTTGGTAAAACTTGAATGTAAATGTCCTCATAACAATCTGGCATCAGATCTTCCACCTGGTACAGAACAGCTGTCTGATAACACTGATATGACCACAAGCTGTAAATGTGTGTGTGTGTGTGTGTGAAAAATTTATGCTTCATTCTTAAACAATAAATTCCCTAAAAATGTGTGTGTGTGTGTGTGTGTGTGTGTGTGTGTGTGTGTGTGTGTGTGTGAAAAATTTATGCTTCATTCTTAAACAATAAATTCCCTAAAAATTACACTGTTTACAATTTACAATTAGAAATACATTACTAAAATGTCAGAAGTTGCCAAATCAGTGTTGCCAGAGAGTGAGCCATATATTTTTATATTTGTATTAATTTGCATGTAAATGAAATTCACAGTGCTGCTACTAATATACTACTACTACTAATATAGCCAGCAGGTGGCAGTACACGAGCTAACATTTCTATATGCACCATATCAATATTTTAGGATGCCTAATGTGACTGACTTCTAAATGCTGTTTTCATTTCTCACTTTTGAGCTTCAGTCAAACTGTAAACACCAAAAACTGACCAAGTCCATGTGCCCCTGGTCCAGCAATCCTCTCTTGACATGATTAAAAAAAGAAGAATCAATCTGCTGAGAAAAATGCATGTGATATGTCTAACTTGAACAATAAACAAAATCAGATAGAAAGATACACCAAATAAGATTTTGAGCATCTCTAGATCTTTATTCTAACCTGTCTACTGGAAAAAATCTATAAAAAAAAAAAAAAAAAGGGAGTGAGTGAGTCACATGTGATTGGCAAATAGAGCCTGAACATAGATCCTAAGTATACCACAAAAATACAAATATACACTGACCCACAAAATCTGGCCTGCTAAATGTGGCCAGAGGTTCATTACATTAAAAGCCCAAAACACGTGGTAAGGAAACCCTGATCTATTACTGCTCTATATATCCAGGTGGATGCTGCACACTGGTGGTGGATGAGGAGATACCCCTGACAATGTAAAGCGCTTTGAGTGCCTAGAAAAGCGCTATATAAATGTAATGAATTATTATTATTATTATTATTTATATAACACACTGTAACAAAGTGCACACACACACACACACTGTAAAACACTTCTCAGCAAAGCTATCGGAGTTACGTAATCCACAGCGCCTGGAGCGACACCACAGTGACACAATAGAGCAGAAACAGTCACATATAAGACTACTGCCTTCTTTACAAATCACAAAAGGCTTCTGTTCGAAGCATATATGAATGATCATGTGCTGCAATATAACAAAGAGTGAAAAATTTAAGGGGGTCTGAATACTTTCCGTACCCACTGTATATATATATAAAAAAATGGAAAGTTATTAATAAAGAAACAACATGGCTCCATCTGTCATACTTGAGCTGTGATGTAAAACAAGGTTTAAGGTTTTTGCTTTAAGGTTTTATTCATTATGATAGCCTGTTCACCTGTCCACGCTCCCATATGCATAATATGGCTGCCAAGTGACAGATAAATCGGCAGTGTGAATTCAATCGGACAGATATTGGTAGCATTTTCTCTTTTTCCTTGTTAAGCACAGTTATTTTTCTTAACTATGCAAAATTATACGGTTAGCAGCATTTAGTATTGGCTTTTGTTTTCCCTGCTGTCCGTAACACTTTTAGAACAAAACTGCCACCCATTTTTGGGTCATGACCCACCAGTTAAGAGCATCTAAAGTCAAATGTTCTGCCTCCCTATAACAAATGCAGGTTGATACAAGACCTACTGACAACAACCCTTTAATTTTCTTATTATTTTATGTAAGTCTGGTTGAACAGGGGGTCACGGCAGCATTCAATCACTAAAATCCATTGCCTGAATAGAACATCCTACAATCCGAGTACTCAAATCCAAACACAGGACCAATCTGGTAGACATGATCAGATTCAAATGCACATATGACTTGAAAAATTGCATTTTCATTCATCATAACCACTCCCCTTTCATATTTCATGAAAGTGCAGCTATGAAAGCAAAAGCTACTTCAAGACAGGTCTTTGTAGCCCCCTTATAGACTTGGAGGCTTTCAAACAGCAGCTATTTTTTTTCCTGTTTTTTTAATCTACTTCCTTGTTGTTCTCACTCAAATCCTCACAACTGCACATATGTGCTTTAATTAATGAGATGTTTTGGGATCAATCCCTATGGTCTTAAGGTGTCTGATCAGACAGGCACAGAACGCATGTCTCTCAAGAGTTTCCCATCATTCTTTCGCTTTCCCAAATGCCCTCTCATCTATCCTCACACGGCTCTACCCCTGAGACCCAGCAGGCTTTTAGCATTACAGCATTATGTGTGTGCATGTGAGAGCTTGTTGATCTGAGCAACTGTGTAGATTCAATGGAAAGAGAGTGGATATGAGCATTTTTGTTTGTTGTTTTGTGTGTGTGTGTGTGTTTGTTTGTGTTTGTGTGTGTGTGTGTGTGTGTGTGTGTGTGTGTGTGTGTCTGTGTGCCTGTGTAAAGTCACCTGTATACCATGATATCTTTTCTGTCTTTTACAATTGTTGCTTGTCAGACTGTATGATGTGACCTCAGTGAAATTGTGGGCAAAAGCCTAGGCTCATCAACAGTCTTGTATGTCAGGCTATGCAGTATACATCTTTGCAGACTGTGGTCATAATTGATAGTGTTGACTAGGCATTTTACATCATCAATCTCTCACTGTCACATTCTGACGTTCTCATTTACACACTCAATTTAATTGTACTGCACAAAACCAATCAAGCCCCTGTGGTAATGCTTGCAATGCTTCGCCTTGAAAAAATAAAATAAGTTATTAAAGTTTTGGACTATGGATGTTGGTTTTCTGCCTCATAGTAAAAAAAGGCAAGTGTGAGATAGTTTAAAATAAAAATGAGATATAAAGTTACAATAATAAGAAACAATGTCATAATTGTGAGACATAAAGACACATTGCATGATATAAGGTCACACTGTGACGAGAAATTTTAAGATTCAAGACATACTGTAAAGTCAAAATTACAAGATATAAAGTCACATTGTGATATAAAAGTCACACTGAGATAAAAAAAAATCCCACTGTGAGAAAAAGGTCAGTCAGAGACAAAGCCAAAATTGGAAGATATAGTCAGTTATAAGAAAATGAGTCACAATTGTGATATGTTTACAATGTAAACTGTTGCAAACTGTAATGTCAGTCACATTGAGATACCGTAAATTCAGTTATGAGAAAAAAATGCAATTGCAAGAGAGACACATTACGAGATAGAGTTGCAAGATATAAAGTCAGCTATGCGAAAATCAAAACTGCAAGATATAAAGTCTAATTACAAGATATAATCACTGAGAGATATAAAGTCAGTTATAAGAAGCAAAGTTGCAATTGCAAGATATTTACAATTGTAAATTGTAAATTGTAAAGTCACACTGGGAAATATAAAGGAAGCTATGAGAAAATCACAATTGTGAGATAAAGTCATATTACAAGATATAAAGTCACTTTGTGAGATAAAAAGTCACACTTGTGAGATATAAAGTCAGTTATGAGAAACCAAGTCGCAATTGCAAGATATAAAGTCAGTTATAAAGAAATAGTTGCAATTGCAAGATATAAAGTCAGTTATAATAGTCGCAATTGCGAGATATAAAGTCAGTTATAAGAAATAGTCGCAATTGCGAGATATAAAGTCAGTTATAAGAAATAGTCGCAATTGCGAGATATAAAGTCAGTTATAAGAAATAGTCGCAATTGCGAGATATAAAGTCAGTTATAAGAAATAGTCGCAATTGTGACATGTTAACAACTGTAAACTGTAAATTGTTTTAAATTGTAAAGTCACATTGTGAGATACAATATAAAGTTGAAAAAGTCGGAATTGCAAGAGAGTCACATTAAGAGATGAAGTCAGCTATGCGAAAATCGCAACTCTGGCATATATAGTCACATTACGAGATATTGCAATGTGAGATATAAAGTCAGTTATGAAAAACAGTTGCAATTGAATGATATTTACTATACTGACTGTATTTTGTAAACTGTAATGTGAAATATAAAGTCAGTTATGAGAAAATCTCAATTGTGAGATATAGTCAGATTAGAAGAAATAAAGTCACACTCTGAGATAAAAGTCATACTGATAAAAAGTCACATTGTGAGATACAAGTCAGTTATGAGAAAAAAGTTGCAATTGCCAGAGATAGTCACATTACAAGATATAGTCAGTTACGATAAAGTCGCAATTGTGACATCTACTCAAATTACAAATTATAGTCACGTTGTGAGTTAGAAGTCACAATGTGAGAGAAAAAATTCATATTGCGAGATTGCGAAATTGTCACATTGTGAGATAACAGTCAGTTATAAAAAAAGTTGCAATTGTGATATATAAAGTCAAATTACAAAATATAAAGTCATATTGTGTGATATAAAGTCAAACTGTGAGACAACCATCAATTATGAGAAAGACAATGGTGAGATATAAAGTCATGTTGTGAGATATAAAATGTAACATTGCAAGATACAAGCTCAGATAAAAGAAACAAAGGTGCAATTGCAAGACATAAAGTCACATTGTGAGATATAAAGTTATACTCTGAAGTAGAAACAGGTTTTTATTGACTGTTGACTGCTCATGTTTCAGAGTGAACTCAAGGTAATTTTGCAGTAAGATGATAATTTAAAGGGAACTTTCATTAACAAGAGATGTTGTTCCACGACAAAAGAAATCATTTACAATTCCAGAAATGTGACAAAAATCAGTGTGAGTGTAAGCTGACCAGATGAGTGGGTGAAGCATGTTCAGTGAAAAGTGTGAGAATTTGATTTTCTGCTTATGTGTGTTTGGTGTTTCCTCTCTCTCTTACCCTTGAATCAGTCTCCTCACACACAAACAAATGTGATAAGTCTAGTTGAGTAATGCGATCAGCGTACGGTTTTCGTGTAAGTGTTGATTACAAGCCCACAATTGTTACTTCATCATTAAGCATTACATCTCACCACAAACTGAATGGGCCTACTGTGTACACAATAATAAGATCAACTGATCATGTAATGAGCTAAATAACACACACACACACACACACACACACACACACACACACACACACACACACACACACACACAACTTCAGCAAACAGCAATTGATGGGATTTGAGATTAAATTCCTCCAGCTCGGAATTACATGAACAGTTCAGTTCAGTGTATGCATGAAGACAAGCAATCAAACTTAAACAGGTTAGTGAAGGTTAGTGTACATTGACTGATTTAACACCAGACAGCAGCTTTCAAGGCTTCAAGACTCTAAAAAATGATAATGTTTATAAACTTTTTCAGTGCTTGAACTTCTGCTGAGAAGTGAAGCTGTATTCAGTATAATGTTGATGCAGGGAATACACATAATGCTTGACCAGAAATTTCAGCAAAACCTACGTTGGTTTGGAGGCCTCTGCCTGGTCAGTCTGAAGTTTCTGTCCGCCTTCCACCTCCATGGTGCAGTAAACAATCCGGTTTGGTGCTAAAGACTTTAGACCCTGTACCTCCATAATCACCACCTGTGGGGAAAAAAAGAAGACAACTATAGAGACGACTCCTAAAAAAATGTGAAACGTTATCCAACCATATAGACCATAACAACAAAACCAATTTGGTATTTTGTAAGATTTTATCAAGAAAGTAAAGGAGACAAAGGCTCATTTCTCCAAGAAAGTAAAGTAGACAATGCCTTTTCTAAAATTAAACTGACAGTACAAAAATAAAACAAACCAACATTACAACAAATTTTAAATATTAATATAATAATAATATTGTAAAAAAATGTATAAATCATTCATTTTTTTTATATAGATCCTAAATTGTGTGAGGTAAAAAAAAAAAGTCACATGAAGAGTCACAATATGATTGGCTTATTACTCTGCCAATGATATAATGTTCAGCTATAATGCTTGTAAATGGTCTGCAAATCTGCATAAATTAATCAAAATGGTAGAAAGGGACGTATTACAGACAAAACAACCCACCACTTTGAATCATTTTGAAACTGAATACATACAACTAGGATCAGGGTAAAAGCAAGATTAAAACTGATGTGAGATGTGTCACATAAAGCCGTCATCACCTAGGTATCAGTGAAAGGGGAACGTGTTGTTAACACACGACATACATCACATGGTTTTACTGCCCCATTCTTCAGGGAATAGCTCCTCTCAGATCCTGTCACTTGATTAAAGCTAGCTTTATAGCAGGTTGTCAGTGCCATGCACTCAGGATTTTCTGTCTGGTTTGTGCTAAGTAAGACTTGTCTACACACACGCACACACACACACACACACAGACTTATCTGCTGCTCATAAATTCAGAATTCTCCTGTCCTCTTTTAAACCTGCATGATGAACAGAAGGTGACATTTTCAATTTGTCCCTTTCTGCAAATCAAAGACCAATATATTGCTAATGCACCAACATGGCCTGTAATATTTTACGTTGATATGCAACATGCTGTAATGAGATATTCAAAGCAATGGCTGTGCAAATTTGAACCCGATAAAAGGGAAACACAGAAATCCTACATCAAGCCAGTGATGAATGTCAAGACCATCACAGATTCAATTATTTCATCTTGACATTGTTGCGTACTGATGATCAGATCAATTTCTATCAAATCACAAGCTACAACAAGATGGTGCTGAAAAGGAAAAAGACAATGTTGCGTTTGCATTTGTTTCATATGCCTGTATAAATTCTCTTTTAATTCTTTCAGTAAATTCTCTCTTATAAATTCTCTTTTATTTTCTTAAGTGTGGGCAATGAGATGTGGTATTCTGGAAAGCTCAGTGCTATAAAAAATATCTGAAGCAAAGCCAAAAATAATGGGTAAGACAAATTTGTGAGAGAACTCAAAAAAACAATATTTGATGCAATATTACTTGAAATACTGAAACTGCACAGGTTCGAAGCTGCAACATTTGAGCTACCAGCCAAGATCTTTAACCACTGGGTAACAACAGCCCAAATTTTGAACTCTGATCTTTCATGCAGGTTGCGTTTTACTCTTAAACCCTATTCAGTTGGGGAATTTTGTGTTTCACAGGTGTACTTTGTGTTTTTACTCGTGTATGAATGAAACGTCTGTGTTTTTCAAACATGAAAAAAAAAAGAGTAAATTTGTTTTTCTTAGTGGTCCTTTGAGACATCTAACAATATCTCAATTGGAATATCTGAGTATCTGCATGTATATTATTTTCTCTTCTCTTTTATTTTGTCCTTTTGTCCAACAAGGAGAGTTCGGTACCAGAAATGACTCAAAGTGCCTCTCAGAGATGTTCAGAACCTGAATCCAATCCAAATGGTTATTTAGAGTGGCAAGAGGCTTTATAACTGTAACATAATTTGATCCAATTAAGAAACGTTAAGAAAGAAGAAGTACCTCCAGTGTGAAAGACAAAACTACGTCAGACTTGGAGAGCTGATTCTCGTCCTCCTGGCCCATGTCAATGATGGAGGTGTTATGGCCTCTCTTGAGCTTCTGCAGTTTAAACTCTCCTCCTTTAGACACCGGCATGCTCTCCAGATTGGCCATCAGCAGGTTCACTGATGACTTCAGCTCCTCAATGTACATGGCCTCCATGTCCCTGGACACAAACTTGGGGAACCTGCCAGCCTATTCAAGGAGTTAAAGAGAGAAAAACAACTGTGGCCAAGAGGGCTAAAACAGGACATTGGGACATTTGGGTCTTAGAATAGGCTACTCTATCAGCCTGAAAATTACAGTATGCTTCTTGTGTAACTGTTTAAAATGGGATTACTTACTTTTGTGAACTGATCAGCCATTTGAAGTCGTCCATCCAGCTCTCTTCTGATCTGGGCAGCCTGTTCATCAGGATTATCCAACTGTAAGACAAAAACATTTTAATGCATTTACACTGACATTCCAATCACTCTTCCTCCCTGTCACAAGATCAACCCGTATCTGACCTTCACCATTACAAAAATAGTGCCAAAATATCTCATAATTGTAATCATACCAACCATGCCAAATAAACCTCAAGCAAAATGTATTCAATATTTAATGCCTGCACGTGGCTTTCTGCAAGCTTCCATCCAATACATGCACAGCTCTGTCCATTTGAAAGCCCAGGACTGTTATTAGATTAGAGACCAAAGAAGATCAGCCATTTGTCAGCATGTCACCATGAGAAGGCAACTTCCGAATCTGTTAAAAATTGAAGCATGAACTTCTGATCCTGATACAGTTTTATGTTTATTAAAACAAGATTAATGTACACTCATGTCACTAAAACTAACTTTGTAATTTGTAAAATGACAAAAATATGCATGCTAATACATTTATACACAGATATTTGCATATAAAGTGTGGATAAAATGTTACTACACATAAATCTAGCAATGTTAAAAGGAATAGTTCACCAAAAATTGAAAATATACTAAAAATGTACTCACTCTCTTGCCATCCAAGATGCAGATGAGTTTGCTTCTTCATCAGAGCGGATTTGGAGAAATGTAGCATTACATCACTTGCTCATCAATGGATCCTCTGCAGTGAATGGGTGCTGTCAGAATGAGAGTACAAGTCCCTAATCCATAATACGGCTTCGTCCAGTGCAGAGAAACACCAAATCCAAATCACACCAAATCCATCAACATATTTTTTTCAGAACTGTTTTTGCTTATAAATGGTGCTTGGTCTGTGTATATTTCTCTCCTGATTCAGACAAGACCATTTTTTCACTGGAGAAAGCAATATTATGGATAGAGAACCCATATTTTAGCCGGAAGGAATGGTTTGAAGTTAAAAACATCTTAATGACGGATTTGTTTCTTACAAACACAGCTTTTCCCTTCACAAGATGCTGATGGACTTGAGTCATGTGGATTACTTGTGGATTATTGTGATGTTTTATCAGTAGTTTGGACTCTCATTCAGACGGCATCCATTCACTGGATCCACTGGTGAGCAAGTGATGTAATGCTAAATTTCACAAAATCTTTTCCGATGAAGAAATAAACTCAACTACTTCTATGGTGGCCTGAGGGTGAGTACATTTTCAGTTTTGGGTGATCTACTCTTTTTAGCTAACACTGAACTCTCCAAGCCAGAAAAATCATCCTTGCTAAGAATAGGACAGACCTCATCATTTCTTTAATGAGCTATTTTTGTATTGCCATCATTCAATGCCCAGCCTAATAATGAAACTATCAACTGGTGGCCTGAATGTTTGAAAATCGTGTTGCAAAACTCAAACAGCACATAACTTTCATCCAACAAACTTGTCGGTTTACGATTCAAGACCAAGAAAAACAACATCAAAGGATGCATCGGTAACACTTTGGAAAAGGGAACACATATTCACTATTAACTAAGAGTTTTCCCTGAACAAACTGCTAATTTGCTGCTTATTAATAGTTAGTTGTTAAGTTTAGGTATGGTGTAGGATTAAGGGATCTAAAATATGGTCATGCAGAACAAGGTATGAATATGTGATTTATAAGTACTAATAAAGAGTCAAAATGCTAGTAATATGCATGCTAATAAGCAACTAGTTAATAGTGAGAATTGGTCCTTAAAATAAAGTGTTACTGATGCATCTTTAAATACCCAGTATGTTCTATACTAAAGGGTTCTGAACTAAAGGCGAGTTCAGAGCCTTATGGGGGAAGAATTGGCCAGTCAGTTGCGTGGTTGGGTGGAGGACCATCTGGACAGGCTGTGGCCATGGTGTCCCCGTTCCTGACTCCAGCTGGGCTAAATTCAGTACTCAAATAGCTACAAACACCTACACCCTTCCATGAGGATTCCTACAAGCAAGTAAACGCACACACACCAATGCACTTGCCACATACACATTGCTCACACAGAACAATGACGGCATATAATTGTGCAGGCATACACAATTAAAACACATGCTCACATCACACATGCATTAATTCATGTACAAGTTCTGTCCCACACATGCAGTATATGAACACACACTCAACTGCAATGTGCCAATATGTGGGTGTTTTCATAATGAAATGCTTAATGTTACTGCATAATAACAGGATGGGTGTCCAAGACACCGATTAAGCCCCATTTTCACCCAATATACTTACAAAAATACTTTCCACAGAGAATGCACCTGTGATATGATTGCTAGTCCGACAAATTCAGGTTTATTGGAAGATGTTGTTCCAAACCAAAGTCAGTGAGGTCCTAATCATAACATTAATAAAATATAGCAGAAAATCCGGCACATATTACAGTTGATTCTGCAACAAAGTCAATTTCAACACAGAAATAACAAAGCAGTATATACACTACCATACAAAAGTTTGGGGTCGGTAAGTATTTTTTATATTTTTCTTAAGTATCTTACTCTCACCAAGGCTGCATTTATTTGCTTCAAAATACAGTAAAACAATAATATTAGAGTTTAAAACAACTATTTTCTATTTTAATACATTTTCAAATGTAATTTATTTCTGTGTTGGCAAAGCTGAATTTTCAGCAGCCATTACTCCAGTTTTGGCTGTTCAAGAAACACTTCTTATTATCAACAATTTTGTGATAATATCAAAACGAATTTTTTTCTTCAGGATTCTTTAATTAACAAGAAAGTTCAAAATAATTTGAATTAGAAATCTTTTATATGATAAGTGTCATTTTGATCGATTTAATGCATGCTTGCTGAATAAAAGTATTAATTTTCTTTAAAAATAAAAATAAATAATAATAATAACCCCAAACTTTGGAAAGTAGTGCATTTGCTTTAAAGACATTTGCTAACTTTAAGACACTAGTCTGACTGCTACAGTACACAATTCTTTTATTAAAACACAATGCCACAAACCTCACAAACTTTAGCATATCCAGCAATCTTTTCTCAGAAGCCCTTATTTTAACAGCCTAATAACATTTAATGGAAATTAAAAACACTTATTGTCACCCGTATACAATTTGCATTAGATTGAGGAAACCCAAAAATGACAAAGTTTTTGTGTTGTCAACTGCATTTTAAAACAAACAATTTTGATCTTTGGAAACGTTAGTGGAAACTTTTTTTCTTGTACCTCCATTAATATTTAGAAATTTACTTCTGAAAAAAATTAACTTAGTAAATGTAACATTTATTATAAAATACATTCCACTGAAATATTTAATCAGAGGTCTATCCTAAGCATCAAACAGAACTGCCTTGACCACTACCCAATGATACTACTTTCCCTACATGGCATTTTTGAGTCTGGTCACAAACATGCTAACAGTGATATTAGCTTTTCAAGCTGAGACCAAGCAGCACAGCATGGTTCTTCTCCTGCTGCTCTGGTAGACTGAACCAGTCAATGTTAAAGATGAATCAGCATTCAGTCTTTCTCACACATGCCTCACGTCACAGCTGCCTCTCTCATTGTGTTGGCATCGCAGTGACAAACCAGCTAACATAAAAGAAACTGCCACCACAGTCATTTAACTGCTCTGTGAGGCTTTTAATTAGTTCTTAATTTATATATCTGCACTGGCAGACCTTAAAGTGAAAATGAATGTAAACCAGATGTATGGCATTGCTGTAAGCAACCAACCGTTCTATTGTGAAACCTTTGATACCTTTGGAATTTATAGGGGCTATTATCAAGTCAATGGAGCTTGATAAATGTAAAAGATGGGTTGTGCCAAACAAGGCCTTCAGATGAACAACAATAAATAAATAACCAGGAGTGCCATGACACTTCATAAATTTGTTGAGATTTTCATGTACCAGCAAGGGAGCAATCCGTGATGTCACTGCCTGATGATAATCTGATTTGGTGCAAACAAGACATGTGTAATTAAATTAATGTGCCTAATCTCAGCCAGTCAAGACAGAGAGATTGTCTGGCCTGTGTGTGTGTGTTTGTGTGTGTGTGTCGTGAGTAGAAGGTGAGACCGACTGAGAGTCAGACAGTGTCATGAAGAACAACAGTTTCTCAAACATTAAAAGAATAATTTGTCACAAAATTGACATTCTTTCTTTATTTACGCAACCTCATGTTGTTCCAAACTAATAAGATATTTTTTTTTCCTAGAAGAGAATCATTTTGTAGCTCTTATCATAGAACCATTTTATAGTTATATAATAGTTAGCCTATATATCTATTATTTAAACATTTAAAATAGGCTAATGTTCAATTCAATAATGCATCCAATATTAACATCAGCAAAATTACCAGTAAAATCAATTAAAGAGTAAACAGCATAGTCAAACAGTTAATGTGATGGGATGGGGGAGGAGAAAAACTAATTAATTAAAAAAATTAAGCAAATGAAAATGACCAAATAATAATTGGAATAAGGACTTGTCATAATTGATGGAACCTTGAATTCTTCACTCTACCAGAAAATCCTGAAGGAGAATGTACGGCTATCAATTTGTGACCTCAAGCGCACTTAGGTTATGCAGCAGGACAATGATCCAAAACACACCAGCAAGTCCACCTCTGAATGGCTCAAAAAAAAAATGTTGGAGTGGCTGAGTCAAAGTCCGGACTTAAATCCAATTGAAATGATGTGGCATGACCTTAAACATGCCATTCTTGCTTAAAACCCTCCAATGTGGCTGAATTTAAACAATTCTGCAAAGAAAAGTGGGCCAACATTCCTCCACAGCGATGTGAAAGACTCATTGCCAGATATCGCAAACACTTGATTGCTGTTGTTGCTGCCAAGTGTGGCACAACCAGTTAATAGGTTTAGGGGGCAATTACTTTTTCACATAGGGCTAGGCAAGTTTAGACAGCATTTTTCCCTTAATAAATGAAGTCATCATTTAAAAACTGCAATGTATTTACTCGGGTTATCTTTGTGTAATATAAAAATTTGTTTGATGATCATTTAAAGTGTGACAAATATGAAAGAA